AGGCCAGCTTGATACTGGAGGGAGGATAGCTTTGATAGGTTATGTAGAGACGCGGTGCTATAGAGAACATCGCAATAATCAAGCAAAGGAGAAATGTACGCATTGTAAAGTATGTTAAGATGCTTAGATCGTAGAGTTTTAGAAAGCGATTTTAAAGGATTTAGTGCACTTTGGGCCTTGCTTAAAGTATATGTAATATGCTCGGAACAGTCAAGTTTATGATCAAGAATAAACCCAAGGTGTTTGTGGAATGTTACAAAATCCTGTCATATTAATTTCGAAAATTACATTATCACTGGATGTTAGCTAAGTTCCACAATTAAAGAAAAGATAGAAGGTTGTTACAGACTGATATCACATGCGCCTCTAAAATAGTAGCCCCCCCCTCCCCTTATCCAAAATTAAAGTACACAATAATTTTGTAACAGACTACTAACGGACCTTGAGGTCAGAGAGTACAAGTTTCAGACCTCTTTCACTTGTGTTTTTTACATTCTACATAACTCCCCTCACTATAAGAGACTTTTTTCAAGCACATTCTTTTAATAAAAGTAAGAACGTTATGTTTCCTTGATCTAAGCTTCCCTATTCATCATAGAAGGATACAGAAGGAGCTTGGGTTCTTTTTGGCAAGAATGTGTTACATGTGTTCTGCTGAAATCGTCGAAAATCTTCCCTGTCCGCCACCTTAATCTATGGATCCGCCAGTGATATACCAACACATCAACAAAGGCCCCATTCAGAATAGGGGACTAACTAGTCCAAGGGTCAAATACGGCGACCCACTACAAAGCTTGCCGTCTAATCCGCTAATAGACACTGAATAGATATCCCATGGGGAAGTATTCAAGTGGGAAGGCCATATTTGGCCCTCGGACTAGATAGTCCCCTATTCTGAATGGGACCAAAGCGTACTCTTTTATTGATTTGATTTCAGTGCACAGTTAAAATAAAACGTTTTTTTCTTTTATCAGGTAGTTTGGAAAATGGAGGCGTCCTCTTTGATATGAAACGGAATAACTCATCATACATCCTATTCTTTACTATGCTGCGATGTGATCGTCAAAACAGAGTAAATTCCTGATGGATAAATACAAAAAAATAATACAAAATAATATTTTTTCTATACACAAACCCGGGGAGCAGTGTAAAGCGACTACCCAATTTTACATTAAGTTAGCCAGTAGGCTACCAGCATACATGAAGAATACTTACAGCTTTTTAAGGACCAAAGGTGAAAGGGTCACTATTTCAGGGTCCAGTGTTACATGTAACATCAAAATGTCCACCGAGGAGAAAATGAACGAATAACTATAATTTATGTATGGGCTCCGTTACTTTTTGATTATAACAGATTCCATGCGATTTACCGTATTTTAGCTGATAGAATGTTTTATGGAGCGGGCGATCACACAGAGCACCTCGGATGCATTGATTATTTCAATATTCATTACCTTAATAGCAAATTTCCCTGCTATTAATTAACGAAGCAAATGCCATGGCATTAATTTGGCATATACACATTTTCCCTTAAAAACTTCATTTACTTTACCCCAGATAACAGTGTTGTGTACTCTACTCTCTACCAGATGCAAAGTGGGCGATGACGTCGGTTTTTTTTTAAATAAAAATGCCACTGTACAGAAATGTGCCCAGAATAACCAGCGAAATACTAGCAAAAACGCGCTACAAGAGCGTTGGGAATGTGGGAACTAGTAATACCATCTCTCGGTTATTTTAAGGAAGGAAAATATAAAACTAGAAAACAAGGTTCAAAGCCTATATTTTTGTTGATCAAATCAAACACATTTGATGTGTGTACATCTCAACAACGCTAGAAAAATCAAGTTGCAGATTTTTTTGTCACAAGGTACAATGAATCAACTTCAAACATTTGGAATCTCTGTATTTCACAACATATTTGCTCCCATTCGTCCGTATCATGATTAAAGGAATGGAATATGAGGATATCCAGGATGTCGAAATATGTTTACATTTTTCTATGGAACCTTTTTGTTCAGGTGCAGATAATTTGTCATTTGAAGAAGCGGGCCATAAGGAATAACAACTGCTACTGGCTTTGAGGCATATTTGCATAAACAGGTTTAGACCGAATGATTTAGCAACCCTTAATATAAAATATATAATAATATATAAGACAAAATATTGTAGCGACAAGTTAGTATGTCCCAGTTCAAGTATCTGTAACTGCATAGGTCTAAGTCCAGCATTATATCAACAAGACATTTGTGATCATTGCTCTTCTAAAAAATAGAAATAATTGCTTGCCATAATTCAAATTTCAGTCCGGCAAATATACATGTATATATACATTCCTGGACTGAAATATATCAATAAAAATTCAAATTTCAGTCCGGCTCATCCACACTTCCTGCTATCTTCATTGAGAAGAACTAAAAGTGCCTAACTGCCAAAATCATAAGGAATAAGACAGCCAGCAACGAACACGAGTACATTCGCAAGATGGTGCCACTGGATGAATCTGGCGTTTTCATAGTTGTGCCAGATTCCTCCTCAGTTTGATACACGCGCACGGACTTGACCTGCATGGCCACACCCTCCCCCTCCGCCGTCCATGTAGGATACCACCTGTCCTTGGCCTCCCAGAACGTAGCTGAGGCCTTAGAGTCGCTGTTACTCCACGGTTTAGTGATGTTCCCAGACCCATCTCTCAGGGAATCTGGAAAGTATCCCATAGTGCCCCCCACTGCAACGTTCATGATGATGTGGAACTGAAATATTGATGAATTGAAATAAATGCAAAAGTGAAAAGACACGTTTGATGGATTAAGTGATAGAAAATTATTTAAGTTTGGGATTTCATATAATCAGAGTAATCGCAGATGTTTTAACTTTCAGGCGCAGAGGAGGCAAAATACTTAATATGTACATGTAGTATTTGAGTGCACTTTCAACGCTGTATCTCCCAAGTTTTCAAAGTGATTTTTTAAAGTTTCCGGTGGCACTGAAAGCTTATAAGAAACCTTTTAGTGTGGCTTTGAATTTCGACCTTTTTTCAATTGAAGCTTAACATGCATTTTAAAAATATTTAAAAGTCACAAACACGCACCTTCTCAAACACGCATTCATTACAAAACTAAATTCTGATACAAAAACCCGCCCTTACGTCTTCAGTGAATTAACTTTCAAATAAAGCGTATTCTTAAACAAATTGGCAACCCACAATACCAGCAACGTCTGTATAAATATGTGTATTCCTGTATGAAATTACATCATTTGAAGCGTCTCTGTCTCTCTCGTATACATTACATTATCTCAACAATACTATAACGGTCTATGTTTTATTCACGAAACTCACAGCTTTATCAAATGGCGCCAGTCTTGTGCCGTCTTTCCAAGGGTTTGGTTGAGTTTGGTTCTTCCACCCGCCGTCGCTCTGGTTGCCCCACGCCCAGAAACCGGGAAAGCTGGGGTTTTCATCCAGCAGCGGAGATGGAATTTCTAGGAACTGGTGACCATCAACGGAAAACCTGTGGACATGACACACAGTCAATGGGAGGTGAGTTTTACTATTTAGTTTAATGCACAGATAATACTATAAAGATAAATAGAGATAAATTCATACCAAGATGTTTACATCAATAGCCGAATATGAACATCTCTTCACATCAGAGAAAAAAACTACTTTTAAACTTCAACAAATTTATCAGTGCAAATATAGCTACGCTAGACTCTCCGGCCAACTTATGTTTGACTTCATTACTTTTTATCACTTTTGTCACATTTCTCTACACCTAATGTACGCGGTTTATTAAAGTAAATGATCGTTAAAAAATAATAGATCTTTAAAATGCAAATCTAAGCTATGTCAGCAAATAAAATTGTAGCTGTTTCATATTTATGTAATAACCCACTCTTCCAAGACACATTTGAATCGATCAATGTTTCAGAATACCATAACAGAAATGTCCAAGATGAAAGTATTACCTGAAGCCGTTGGCGCTCCAGTCAACGACATACTTGTGGAAATTATCTGCAAAGTTGGCTGTCTTGTTTGTACTACAACACACAAGCAGAAATAAAACTTTAAACCAGCCTTTCATAAAAGTTAACTGATTTACAATTTTTCTATAAAATGAAACTGTGTGTCTATGCTTTTAGACAAAACAAATATGTTTTGAGCAATTTCACAACCCAATTTCAAACCCAAAGATACGTGAACTGCTGTGGTCTGCACTGAGATTAATTATATAAAAAGTACTGTATTTGTATTAGTATTGTTGCTGATTTTAAAGACGCAATGAACTTACTATGTTTTATCCGTGAGATGGAACTTATTGTCATTATAGATGGGTCCCCAGTGTAGCGCTGAGGCAAACGCGTTCACGCCCAGCTCGGATTTATTTACCCCATACAGATCTCGATTTCCTGGGAAATTATATATGAAATTAAAACTTATGTTACAGATGCATTTGGTTTCTATAAACTATTGTTTTATCTGACAAAAGTGGGTTATTCCTTAGTGTATTTTTGTTTATTCGCTTATCTAGAGTTTCCATGGTTTATTTTACTTTTCTATTTATCTTCTTCGTGAAAAATATTCAAGACTAGAGAATATTTTGATAATTTAGACTTTTTTGCGAGTGAACCCGTCTTAGATTTTCGTTTGAAAATGGGAAAACTAAAAGAAATGATAAAGTGATAAAGTCACTCCTATATTTACACATCTATAGTTGTGTGTGCAGATAAGAGTGGTTATATTACATTGCACTTGGTTAAAATAATAATATAATACTACATAAAGGGCGGGTGTACTGCATCTTACGTACCCCTTGCTTCCACCAGGTCAATTTCTCCAGATCTTGGCCATTCTCCGTATTCATTATCCTCAGGCAAAAGCCAAATAGCTGAAAATACACCGTAAATTTCATTCAGTTTCGAGTAAAAATATTTTTAAATAAATTAATTGAATTGGAGGTATTTAGAAGAACGAAACGATAGTTTAACAATAATGTTACATAGTTTTCAGTTTACATTGCTGTGTCACTGTTACATGTATCCACCACAGCGTTCTCTCTCTCACACACACACACACACACACACACACACACACTCACACACACACATTACCTGGCCATATCCAGTCTCCTGCCGGCATTTTGGCCACGACCTCCAGCCGACCGTACTTGAAGCTGAATTTGCCTTTAGTCCGCACACGAGCAGACATGATGGGGTTCACGATTTGCCCGTCTTGTCCTCTGCGCAGGCATCCATAAAACATTTCATTTGTGCAACGACCATACATTGCTAAAAGTCAAAATATGCATGTATTTAATTAATCTCTGATTGCTTGAATGTTCCATGTCGCTCTTGTAAACGTGTACACAAATATGGATCTATCTCACCTTTTAAGTCTTAAAATGCTGAAAAACATCCGTAATATTTGTTGACATAATGTGTAAATCAATCCATTACTTTCAAAAAAAAAAAAAAAAAAAAAAAAAACATTACATCTATAATAGAGAGTCATCGAATATTTGGAAACCGCTTACCTCTTATATCCAATGTCCCATTATAAAGAAAACTTTCGCCAAATGGCTGACCAGTCAAAGGATTGATGCTGTCTTTCAGCAATGTCTGAATAACATCGAAATATCGGTTTATACAGGGAAAAGATGTTTTCACAGAGGTAATACAGTAATCTCCTGAATGTCAGTTTGTTTGGTACTGTGAACTAATAGTTTTATCATCTGTAAATGCCATTTGAAATTTTAAAATTTTATCAGAAGAAACGAAGATTTTAAGAAGTTGCAATAAATCTCGGATTTTCAACAATTCCCATTTTTGTAAGAAATGGGCGTTATGGAAAACAGCACTTTTGTATCTATTTTGTGCAGCAAGATCACAATGGCCCCATTCAGAATGGATGATCCGAGTACTTACTGATCCGCCAACTAAATATGGCCGTCCACAGTTCAAAAGCGATGTCGCTGATTTCTTATGGTCTCCCGAATCCACACGCGCCGTCGCTGCAGGGGCCTAGCAATTAAACCTCGGAGCAGAGATTCAATCCGTTTAAAGGCGCGTGTGGAGTCGGGGAGACCATCAGGAATCATCGGCATCGCTTTCGAACTGCGGTCGGCCATATTTAGTCGGCGGATCAGTAAGTACTCGGATCATCCATTCTGAATGGGGCCAATGAAGCATGTCGTCGCTTCTTGATAGATAAATATCCTCTTTGTAATCAGACTTAGATCAAACTGTCTTATGTTCTTGACAGGATCTGCAAACATACATGCATTTAGACAGTTAAATTAAGTTCGCATACGAAAAGAAAGGTCCACACAAATTCTATGAAGAAACAAATAAAGATTTAAAGAGCGACCTGTGTTGATAAAGAACAAATATCTATATGTCAGGGGGTATTAAACCAAATACTCCCTTTAGAAAACCTGATAAAATTGTTCAGGGATTCGTTTAAAAGCAAACAATTTCGCAAAAATTGGCACTCACTGGTTTTATGTACAGGGTGTTATCTCTCACGTAACTGTTTTTGGAGTCGTTAGTGTAGACCTCGAATTCCCAGTTCTGAAAAGAAAGGCGTATTAATCAAAAATCTCCGAAAATTTGCCAATACTCATAAAGATCCCATTGTCACAGCAAAACTTGATAGGGCTGGGTTAGCGAGGTAAAAGTGTTCACCCGCTGAGCAGGCCTACCCAACTACCAGACTCGGCACATAAGGATCCTGAATTAACCAGTATTTCGGACCACACTACCCGTTTTCAAGGTGTGTGTCACATCGCATTTCGGAGTATCATACCCCAGAACAAATCTTGTAGGACGACCGCGGGCTCATCCTGTCGGTGTTCTGACTGACTAAATTATTAGGTTTTATCGAGTCTATAGGTGCACCAATTGAGGAGGCGCGTCTTGTATAAACCTTTTTGCTTCTCTGCCTTTTGCCAATTAATCATGAGCGACCTTCAACGTAATTCGAACTTGAATATACATAGACTAAACATGTCTTCATTTCTTTTTTAATTTTTTTTTTTGGGGGGGATATGTCAATAAATCTTTAGTTTATGCTAAATTTTGAATTATAATCTAATTTTAATTTAAACCTTTGGATCTAATATAAGCCCTATTATATTAAAATCATATAGTGTAGATATGGGTGAACATGCTACTGTGTTTGAATGTCGCTTTGTTCCTCGCAGGTTGAAGACACCGTACACACACAAGAAAATATCACACAGCCGAAGCATCAGTTTCCAGAAAATTCTGGTGCTAACACTAAATTTTTTCTTTACCACAGCATCCACCTCTTAAACTCTACATACTGTATGCTGGATAAATTGCAGTTTTAAAAATTATTCATTACACCACTACTACTTATGAAGTTTCAACCTTCCTTTTTTCTATTTTTCAACTCATTCCACACCTACCCCTCCACCCCATGCGGTGATTTCGTGTTCCCAATTTTTGGGATCCAGCGTATCAAATGTGTCTTCAAAAATGAGATTTTCTACGGCATTATTTTTCGTTACACTGGTAATTAGTAGCACGCAAAGAAACGACCAAGACCCTTGCATTTCGACGCTGTAGTTTATGGAAGTAGTCAAGTGGAGAACGGTCCTCTTCTTTCTACTCAGTGTTGTATGCTGTTTACGACTCTTATATACTCTTGTAAAATTTCAATGTCAATATACAGTAAGGCCACCGCTTTTAGACTTCTGGTTTACAAATTATTTCCTTGAAACTAATACAAAACAAGCTAAAATAGTTAAAAACGAGAAGAGAGAAGAGAAGAGAAAGACAGGACTATAAAAATTTTTTAATGCGTATGCTCGTAGCTAAAGTTTGGCAAGAATCGAAGCAAGCCACACCCCTGGTGGAGAAGAGTGAACCTGGACCCCAACCCGGGCCAACCTTATCAGTGAATAAATCTGGGTGAAATTCCAGAGGAGGACGGCGTCTTGTCCTGATGCTAGTGATCATTCCTTGAAATGATGCGAACTTCTGAAATTTAAATGACACAATCGCGAAGATTCAAGCATCCGTAATACACGCAAAAGTGATATAAATGGCCCATTGCGTAAAATGTGTATAATCCTTAAATTATTTATGTAAATATAGCCTGAGCCGTAAATAAATGCCTGTCTTTTTCACCGTTGTATAATGTAAATAAAGAAGATCTACAAGTGTGCCAGTTTAGGGGCAAAATAGAGAAATTGTGAATGTTGGGGCGGGAGATTGAAGAAAATAGGAAAATGACGCAGGGTATATGTAACCTACATTTCGTTTACAAGTCCTTTTTATTATTACAATGTAGGTCAGGTGTAATTCGAGAGCTGCAATTTCTTAACCCCCGTTTTTTCTTTTGAAAAATGTTGCGTAAACTTTCAGGTGTTAATAATGCTCAGGTATTACATGTAGTTATGAGAACACGTTTAGAAGGGTGAGGTTGCACGTGACTGCTGGGTTTTTTAAAACTAATATTAAAATATTGGTGGCTGATGGAAATATAAATATCAAAGCTACATTTTCATAGTGTTCTTGTTAAAATAATAATAATAAACTTTGTTGAGATATTGCACATATTTTACATATATTCTATTTTATATTATATATATTTTATTTAATTCACAATCCAAAGAAAGCCGGGTCATTTTGGCCCTGTTGCATACTATAAGTTGTCGCTCTCGCCTCCCTGGGGAGGATACAGGCGCTCAGAGCTAGCAAACGTACCATTTCTCCACTGCCAGACCAGACCAGACCAAGCGGGGCGACAGCAGGTACCGTTTATAAAGGACTGATATTTTCCTGGACGGGATCGAACCCACGTCCTCCCGCTCCAGAGGCGGACACTCTAAGACTGTGTTCCCATGCCTACATCGATCCATCTGGATCGTCTAACTCCCTGGGGAGTCTCACTTAATTGCTATCAACTTAACCGACTTAAATATCTGTCACGCCTACCGAATCAGCTAGGGGGTAAAGATAATTACTCCGTAACAGCTTTACTAGGTTGATAGCAATTTAGTGAGACTCCCCAGGGAGATAGATGGATCCAAATATCTATGGGAATGGTCCCTTAGCCACAAGGGCACCCGGTCGGTGATCAAAATATAGGATTAAGCAAACAATGACGGGCAATTTTTTACACACCCCGAGCGTAAAAACCCCAGGTGTTCATTTATCTTTTAAAATTATCACCTAATGTTAACCTTTACCTGTAATAAAAAGCCATTGGTTGCTGAGCTAGTGATTACGTGGACATGTACACCTGTGTACACAAGGTACCTCTGTATACTCTGTACGGTTGATTTCACATATTTCCGGGTGCCTGCTAGGCACATATGTACATAATTCCTTGATTATACCCAAAATAACCCTTTCTTTTCTCAAAAATGAGCTTTTCTTTTGCTACATTGCTGACAAAGCCAAATCAATGAAATATTGTTGAATACTATTACAAAGAATTTTTGTATACATAAAGTTTAATTGAGGAAAAAAACATGTAATCTTTTATACATACTGTTACCCCGGTACCTGTTACACATGATCTCAAATATTCTGTGAAAATAATATAATAAAAATATCAAAGATTTTCCTTTGGCAAACATTGCTTAATTTTAACACAAAGCCCCAAACAAATTTAAAATAAAAAGCATGTTGGGTCTTATAAATGACTGTTTATAGAACAGAACATTTAAATAGCATACATATATGTAAATCCGTCTTTCTTTTCTATGCACCGATGATGCCTACTTAACCTCATACAACTTAATGAACATCCAAATACTTTTTGTTCATTACAGATATCTCTTTTTAATCTACTGAAATTGATCTGATGAAATAGAAGTATTCTTAACTTAGAGTCTAAATAACATCAGTCAAACATGGCTTTCGGGAGACAGGACGCTGCCCAAGGTCTACAGGTGGTGGGCCAAACATTGTGTATGACTGATGTTTTTTAGTTTTTAAGTAATTTCATTTTATCATCCTATCTACAGACTATGAAAAACCTCTTTCACAGTGAATTTACTTATCTGTAAATAACTAACAAAAAAAGCAAATAGCTGTCTAATACTTCACGTCTTCCAAAAATTAGGGTTACTTTCCATTCTTTTCTGAAAGTTTTCATACCATTTCTGCAGAGTGCTCAGCCGAACAAATTTAAACGTCTCTGAGGGATTCGGCACCATCTGGGCTTGATTTACAGCAAACGAGGAAGCATAATTGAAGAAATTTTCCAGCATTTTCTGTGAGAATGCCACCATGGTGTTCAGTGTGGATAGAGAGGTGTTGGTGGCAGGTGTCTGCTGGGACAGCTGCTCTAGAGGCTCCACTGAGATTCCTATCTGTGCATTATGACTGGGCTGCTGGGAAGACTGGCCAAATGGATTGAGGACTGCGTTATCACCTGGATAATAAAATATGGGTAGTGAGAACTTGTTTATGGGGAGGGCAGTATTCTCACTAAAATTACTAACAAACAAACAAAAAACATGACATTCAGTTCCGCATACAGTTATACTACTTAAAATAATATTTTAAAACCTGAGAAACACAAAGAAGTACCTGACTTTAATCCAGATATCTTAAAAATTGCACTTGGTTTGGCATTGCTTATGTGTCCTAACAGCATCCAGGAAGGGCCAGAGGGATTGGGCCAGCAAAAATACACTGAAACCAACAAAAATACAGTCATGTGAAGTTCATCAACTGAAGAACATTAAATCATTCATCACAGGTGCTGAGGATTTCTATGCACACAACTGGCCACGCAACTTTGTTAATAATTCTGCAATAATTACTAAGTGTTCACTTATTAACCATTTCCTTCTCAAATACTTGAAGTACATATCACATGATCAGAGACTGATATAAGCCGTTTGTGGTATTGGGCAGGCGTTTGTGGACAAGTACCCTGAGATTGCCGGTGGAGTCCAGGCTACAGCAGTAGCCCAAGCCCTGGCTGACTTCAACGGAAAGAGGCGCAGAAACAACGCCCGGCTGAGGGTTATACTTGAGAGAGCTGATGGACGGCGTGTTCGACATGGATGACGTGTTAGCCGGCAACCCACACCCGGTACAGGTAGGTGTGAATGAATCGTCGTTACTAAGGCTGTGTTCAGTGCTGTTTTAACGTAATTTCTTTCAAACTAACATAATTTCCCGTCTACTGAACATTTATTTTTAAAGAGCATTTAAGCAATGGTGGGTCTAGGCCTATGCCGAAAATTTTCCGGTTCCAAAACTAGTGCGAATGTGCGTGGGAACTGGTAACCACACGGTCTGCTGATATAGCACTTTCTAAGTCAAGCCGTCCCAACTTGGTTGGAAATGCAGCCATACCATAACTCTAAAAAACGAACTGCACGTTAAATTTCAACCAAACTTACTGCTCCCTAAAGTTAGTTAAACAATGATTTTATTTAAAACGGTATCTATCAGTTATTACTAATTAGTATAAATGCCATATCAAATTCATGTGTAATATATGCATTTGTAACAATGCTAATGGGTTGTTTACCTTCGGTAATAAGCTAACAGTCTTGGGTGCAAATTGCTGACGCAAAATCCAAAATAACGGGATCTAATTCCTAATCGTATCTACAATACATGTACTTTTCTCAAACCCACAAGGTTATTTTTAATCATTTTGATACATTTAAAACTGGGTTCTGACGTATGTTTATGTATATTTTTTAATTCTAATCGCCTGTTATCTCGAATTTGTTGAAAAAAACGTCACCTATCTATGCCTTTTTATTTCATCAGAATCTCGATATGTACATACTTGGAAGTGCCTTTTTTGGAACCTACGCTGACGTCGGAGTGGACGCTGAGACCGTCGCTGCGGGAATAAAGAATTGCGGAACGCTGGCAGCTGACCCCAATGTTATCACCCACTTAACTGAAGACTCTCTCTTCGGCATGTTGGACGCTACTGAAGACGGTATCTTCAACAAAGAAGATCTACCTGTTATTTTTTCTGAATTTATAGCACGTTATGGAAGGGGACGACAGTAAGAATTCTGATTGGGCAGTCCCTCCTTCAGGCTTATATGTCAGTGAACGGATGATTTGAGAAATTTTGTACATTTGCTTCATGGGACAGGGATAGAAGAAAGTCGTACCTTTCAAGTTTGAAAGGGAAAAACTTGAGCCGTTAAAGCTCCTTTGATAAATGTTTGAAAATTTTACATTCTGTTTTGTTTTATGAAATTTTCAAATCTATCATGAATAAAGATGGTATATAAAAACCGCACAAAACCTATGCTCTGGTTTTTATCTATTCGTATCCCGACTCCAAATTAAGGCACGTCGCTTTTGATGACAGATGCAAGAAATTTGCAGATGAAGCTTTCGGCAAAAAACGAACATCAAGTGTCAATAGAACAACTAACGCATTTGAAATTGTACGGGCAGACCGTGTGTAATGAATTATAAATTTGAATATGGAACTTTGCGTATGTGCAAGGAACATAAGTAGGCCCACCAAGGCTCTACTTCTGATACTACATAGTACAGACACGCCCACGAGTTGGTATATCATGTTTATAACACGGCTTCTATAATGTTTTAGAACAATCACACAGCAGCTGGCCTAAGCATCTCCCCACTGCTCATTGATCATGAACTGTTTATCAATCTTTTTTTTTTTGCGGCACATTGTCACAATTATACCTGCGCCGGCTTACACAAAACGTTTCGCAATTTACACATTCGCAAAAGTTTGTGCATTTGTAATTTTTTTTCATAGCTTGAACAAAACCGTCTGCAAGCAAGGTATTGAGCAAAATAACATTGCGAAACAGTGGAAACGATCATGCACGGGTCTGTCCACAAAAAAAAAAAAAAAAAAAAAAAAAAAAAAAAAAAGGGACGGCACAATTGCAAAAACTGCGAACGGTTCATGAAAGTCGGCAATGTTTATTTGTCGGGATCACAAGGACAAATACCTGGACCAAGGGCATCCAGCTACTGCTGGAAATAAAAAAACAACTTTTTGTGCAGTAAATAGATAGTTATTACCGCACAAGCCCTGCTGAATACCAGGTATCTGCCATGAGGTAACACCTATTCATTGCCGAACAATAGGTATATATTATATCATACTGTTAAAAAATACCGTTATTTTTCAAAGGCAAAATAGATCTATTTTCTCTCTTATTGGAGCTGTTCCGGTGTTTGCACATTACATTGGGCGGTGAATTCTGAATTTATGTGTTGTTGTATGATAACACGTAGCTGAAGGGGAGAACCTGCATGACTTAGTTTTCAAATATGGAAGCTTTAAAAAGATTGTGAATCAATTTTGTTAAAAATGTGTTACATATAATAAAAGTGGTGGAAAATCGAAGTCCTTCACATACCTTGAATTAAGAACAACCATTGGAAAAAGACAGTAGGCCTACTATACGATGGGGTGTCATTCGTTAAAGAGTTTTTAATACTATACATAAGGGTATGTAGACGAATTTTGAGGGGAAAATGTTTTTGATGTAATTCTCTCTCAGAAAACAATGCCAATTTCACATCCTCCATACCCCTATTCAAAACACTTTTAAATTTCGGGTGGTCATCTTTCAATATTATTCAGAGTTTTTGATTTTGTATGTCGATATTTTTATCAATAAACGTGTTTGAATTGTTTTAAACACGGTGTATTCTAAGACACTGATGGTAAAGATGAGGAAGGGGGGGGGTGTCTTGGCGCCAGACACTCGAATTTTGATCCCGTTTACGATGTTACGCTTTGTTAATTTTACGGACTTTCTTTTTCACTCACTCATGACGATACACCAAAACGCATTTCCTGAATTAATCTTTGAAAATCCGTCTTATACAAGCGAAGTGTTCTTGCCATATCGAGTTGTTGAGAGATTTTGTCTAAATTAATGACGTTTTTCCAATACTTAATTCCACATGAGGCTAATTTCTGATTTTTTAAATCTCGATTCAATTCGTTAAATGCTTATCAATAACAATACTCGCTCTATCTTTGCAGGTACTGTATAATTCTCTCACTTAACTTTTAAACCTCTTCGTTACAATTAAAACATGAAATGAAACGCACAAGGTAAACTCCATTTCTGTGAACTTGTTCTTTTATTGCTTTAAAAAACGATCTGGTGATCGAGTAAGTCGTGGATACAGCTTGATGCAATACGGAACATATCTTTGAAATATAATACATGACGCATCTCGTTTCTTTTTGCATCTTGGCCATCAAATTGTCTTTGGTGTCTTCGTCATAAAAAATACAATTTTTACAATATAGATACACTATGTACATGTATACAGCTTTTACAGTGATTGTACGCGACTTGTGCGGATCAACGAAGTAGAATTAATGCTGTAATGATTTTAAAATATGGGCGCACATGGTCGACAGGAATTGATATCTACATATTGTACAAAGATAAATGGCACTTGAATATTTTGCATATCAAAACAAGAATTCTCTTTATAAAAATAGCTCTTCGAGATCATTTCCCTACATCTTGTTCTTGTGTCTCATCTATATGCATTAAATCTTTTTAAAAATCTTTTAAATCTTTTAAAAAAGCACCAGACATTTGTAGCCAGGCAGGTGGTTGGTAACCTGCACAAGCCTTGGTCACTAGGAGCTTAATTATGCCCAATTTAATTAGCGTAAAGATGTCTTTGGCATTTAAAACAAACTAGTTTCCTTTTTTCTTTGATCAGATCTCCCCCTACTTTCCTTACTTATGAGTGACAATTGAGACATAAGACAACAGTGGTTGCTCCTCCCCTGGGGGATGGGGGGTCTGTAAAGTGCATAGGATGGTCCTCATACCTCCCTGGTCAGTTCTGGTACCGTGGGGGCAATGGCTGGGTTCACGCCCACTTCCTTCTGCGTCACGGTTGAATTATCAGAGCAGAACTGGTATATATAGTTCTGGAAATGTCACTGTAAAGTTTACAAATAGCCTGGGCAAAATTGGTATACCAGTCTCTTGGAGTGTTCAGTTTTCCTAATAATTCTTTTCTTGTAATACTGACGAATAGATCTGCTCAGTTTGTCGTAGTTCATTGCTGGTCTGTTCTTGCGTTTCCCCCACAGACGCGCTACCTTGACGGAATCCTCAATCTTAAAAATACCTGCAAATAGAATTTTAAAAAATGCATCGTTACTTCGGGAACCATTTTAAGTGTTTGCGTCTTGTTTTAAATCTGAATATGTACCTTTTTTCGTGTTAAAAAACCCAAATTTACACTTTTTCTACATAGAAAACTCTAACAAAACTAAAGAACTACAAGACAATGTCAACCCCGTTTACCTTTTGATCGGTCCACCCATCTTATGCAGTTGCCATAGCAACCAGGCTCCATGAGCAACTCTTTCAAAAACTGCCACAAATGAATGGTGTGTCTTCCGCTAGAGGTCGTTTCAACGCCTTTATCTGAAATTAGCAGAAGTTGATTTATCAAGTCACGTCATGACAGGAAACGCGTGGTTACGAGTGATACTCATTATACTGACTTGCAATATTTCACCACCGTCGCTAGAGGTGATATATCCATTTTAAGCAATTTTACTTCCTCATGTCTTTCACTTTAATCGTGGTATGTGAGCGAGCTCCCTGCGTGCCTGAAACAATTGTCCCAGGGTTCAATCTCAATATCGTGATTCATCGTAAAACGATCCTATGTGCTTGTCTTTGCAACAGTCACGAGTCCGAGTCAAGAGTCCAATAAAATTAATTTTACAAACAGCTGACTTCACCGTTCAATCCCCCTGGAGAGTGGGTGGATTGTTTTCATCTTTTTTTTCTGGTGGGAGACATTCTTTAAAGATAGGTAAATTAATTTTCGGTTGTTAATCACCAAGATAAGTCACCAATTATACGCTTTGTTCTTCTCTGCTTTTTTTACATACCTGAGGAAAATCCCACATCAGTGGAGCAGTATGAGCTGCCATGGCTGTCCAGGCTGTCCTCGCTTGGGTGGGGAGACACCGTGTGGCGTTCAGGGACACTACCCAGGAACGGGTCTTGGGAAGTGGACTGCATAGTACCAAAATCTGTCACCAGAGGTCCACAGTAGCTGGGATAATAAGAAGGGGACAGAGATGCCGTGCTTGAGCTCGACGACATATTGCACTTGAAAGCTGAAATTAAAGAAAGAAACATTTATGCTTTTGGAAAAATGACATGTCCAATTTTTAATGGGGAGGTTGAAATATATGCAACATCTGATGGTAGTAGAAAAAACGAAGCAAATTAGAAAATATTTTAAACAATTGCTAAATACAGTTATGTATACATACCATTTTTCCATATTTCTAACTGAGCGTATAGGGTTGGTCCCGCTTGGGGGGAATGTCTGGCGAAGTCGGCCTCTGTCATGGCTTGTAACGTGCTCCCTGGCAACCGAAAACTCTCCGCGTGATACGAGAGGAGATTGTACTGCTTCAGCGTCCACACTGCCCACTTCTGAACATTATCTACCGTCCAGCATGATGGGTCTGCAGAAAACAATGAATATTATTTTTAGACTTTTACACTTTGGTTAACAATGTGTTTATCATTATAACTGTACAGAAATATGATATCTTAAAACACGAGTCACGCGCCTAATGTTATTGCTGGCTTATCTCTGCACTTGTTTGAGAACAAAAGTTTATTTAATGAAACCGAAGAGAAGCTGCGGTAAGGGTCTCAGATAAATTTGTTTATCTCTTCGCTTCACGCGTGTGAATGGCAAGGTCAAATTTACAAGGCCAGGGTTGCTTTCTTGAAAAGAAAATTGAAATTGAAAGAGTTTTTATTCCTTAGGGTGTCAAGTTCATGTCAATTTTTTTTTGTCTCAGCCCCGGTAGACTTGGCGGTTAGCCAAAATACACCATGTCTGCATGGCAATGAGGGCTGCCTGTATTCTACGCCTCAGTAACAGTAAACCACACATTTGGCACATAATGATACAGTGAATTGTCATAAGAAGTGATATGGAGTGGAGAACACCTGAATATTTAGCTGGCGGGCTTGTTTACCGACCTAGATAAAAGTTTATAAAAAAATCACTGCCTGTAGTGCTGCCTGCATGTTTTCTACGCAGTTACAGATACAAAATAGGTATTCTCAATAAATTCTCTTGAAATAAAGAAAAAATGTCTTACCTTCAGGTATATCTAAGATTTTGCAGGCGAATTCAATGTCTTTACTGACTTGCTCAAACACCATCGATTCCATTCTTTGCAGCTGAAATTTCTCGTCTGCTGCGATGTCGTCTGTTGTGTTGTAGTATTGCACTTCTGTTTTAACTTTCACGTTAGTGTTAAGATACAAGGAGGACTCGTCATAGAAAGTTACTTCATCACCCTGGAGAGGCTGGTCCAGGTCCAAAAGATTGCTCTCCTCCAATTGGAATGCACTGTATTCGGAATCATTTGGAATTTCTACTTTTATGCACCTTTTTGCCTCATTGTTTATGCGAATGTCATTGAAAAGGCAGTCAATGTCAGGGAGCACCTGTCTACTGTCCACAGACATTGGTTCTTCATTCATATAGGGTAAATCTGGGATCAGCCCGCTGGTGTTGCGTTCCGTAACTTTCGGACTTGATTGTAACAGGTTGAACAATGCAGATGATGGAACCTGGAGCGATATAAAACCAATTAGTTAATTTTTGTGATTTACAGAAATACGATCATTCAATGTGGAAATTGCACATTTGTTTTATCATAATAGAGCAATTAGCTTAGTTCCGTTGCAGATTACACTGATAATGTTTTCTGGAAAGCGCTGATCAACCTTCAAAACGATTCGTTACGCTGTCCACAAAACCCCCTTTTGTAGTCTCTGCAACTGTCAGCGACAGATACTAAGTGTGTGTTAAGCCACAGAATAAATTATATATTTAAAAACAACTTAAAACAGATCTAGTAGGTATTAAAAATTCAATAACCGTTGTGGAGACTGGAAGTCGAAATACAAAGGAGAACGGAAAGTCCTAAGGACATAGACTATATGCAGCTATGATGCATCATGAACCTCCAATGCAAATAGTGTAAATCAAAACAGTGGTATACTGCACCTACCTTCTGGTCCTCGTTAGTCACCATTCTCACTTTGCTGTGGTATCTACTTAACTTGTGAACTTCACAATCTGTAAAATGAAAATACCTTGAGCGTGAGTCTTTATATGCAGGCTTCTATAATCAATAAAAAAGTGTTAACGGTGGACACTGCCTACCAGTAGCCAATCACGTTTCGCTGGAGATTCATAAAAATAGTTTTCCCTGTCAACAGTCTGAAAAACAAGTCTGCTATTGACTTAGGCTATGTTGTTCAGTGACTTATTTATTTGGGTCTTTGGGCCTAGAAAAGGGGTGATCATGATGAACGCGGAAGGGAGTGGGTGAGTACACAGTGTACTTATCACTACGATAAACAACGGGAGACGGTGACCAATAATTGGTACCGGTGTAGTTCTATATATAGAACTTTTGTTTACTAAAAATAAACTGCGCAGTTCATGCCTCGGTAACTGTCACCTATCTTGTTGTCTATGGCCCTAGCTATCCAACTGGTGACAAATGCAAAATCATTATGAAAATAACTTAGTCTTCACGGCTGTATAAGTAGAATGTCAGATGGCCCACAATTTAGACACGGGCATCTGAACCGCAATTGGGTCATTGTGACATAGTCGGAAATGACGTCATGTCACCTCACCTGTCCTTTTGATGAAATTCTCCGAACTACAGTGAATACCTCGGTTAAAGGTGTGGTAAGGGACAAGATTTACCTGGGCTAGAGGGAAAATAACAAGTGCTATGACTGTTATGTTTAATGAAGTAGCGGTTACGATGACTATATAGCGGATAACAATCAGTAAGGATGAGTTTGGTGACACTCGTACTGCAATACTTAAGGTGGGACATTCTGGTCTGAATGAGTGGATCGGTTTGGAAAAACGATAACGATTTGATATGGATTTGCTCCCCTATGTTAAAACCACACGCACGTGAATAAAATGCCATTGCGAAATAAGTTGCACACTGTGCAACCCAGCAAGTTTCACAACACCACTCAATGCTCAATGGCTTCACTTGAATACTAGAACCTAGCGTGCGTATCAGTCGTGATGCAGACAAGTCAACATTAAGACAGAAGCAATTTTAAAAGCAAATATTACAGATAAGAAACGACTCATTGATAAATGCCCAAGGTTGTAGTGACGCATGCCGTGTCCCTGTCCCAGTACTGTTGTGTTTGCACACAGGTCCCTTATCATCTTGTTGACTTACGCTGTCCTAGGCCACTTTAAGTGTATTGTCATCACTGATATGACGTGCAAAGCTTTACCAAAGATTACAACGAACAAACGAATGCAGTGCTCTTGTACTTAGACGATTTAGTGTATTTTTATAATTCGGAAATACAAATAATTAAGTTGCAGTAAGCTGAAATCACTCACCTTAATCGCACACGCTTTCTCCTGCTCCTTTCAGCACTGAGAAACAAGTAAGCCATAACTAACGTGTCTCGATATTTATATAGTCTGATTCACGAGTTCTGCGAAATCAACTACCAGTTGTAGCGGGTTTTCCGAATTCTATTTCTGTCATGCAAATGAAGGAGATTCCGCTGCGGTCACTGGGGTAACTCATGACGAAGAGGTTCGTAAGGATAACAGGACTTACACTGTAGCAAAAGTGTTTGGAGTCTGTGTGGAGGATGGAACATCCAGTTGAGCCCAGCCAATATCGGTCCGTACACATCTCGTGTAAAAATGATATTAAGCTCCAATAATACAGAAGAACATAACATTTAAAAGAAAAATCTTCCCTTCGTGCTGCATAGCTAATGTTTCCCTTCGACTTCAACCCGACGTGAAATAAAACCTATTATATTGTTCTGTATTACTATATACTTCTCATAAACATTTTAATAAAAATTAAGATATAAAAGGTAACGACTGCTTCAAAAAGATGTGGGAAATGGGTTGCGCGCCCACCCCTGGATCTCCCAATGTTATTGTCAGAAAAAACTCTTTTATATTTCTCTTTTATACATATAAGCAATTTCATATTACACACTTCGATTTGAAATTTCAGTTAAAAACCCTTTCGAGCCCCTAATCCGACCTGTCATTCATAATTATCCCGCTGGGCTGACTGTTGTCATTCTCGTTATCGTGCCTAGCACAGGCTTCGTGGAATTTAACCGAGGGGCCGTAACCTCGCGTGTTCTCTCTTCTGATTGGCTTGACGTCACGGGAATCAGGATAAACAACTCGGTTCTACGAAGGCAAGATATTTGATGACACTAAACTGGTTTTAAGCCCATAAGCTACCAGCGGCGCTGTTTATAGACAGGTGTTATGTAATTTTGTGGTTGAATATGCTGAGTATGTGAAGTGGAGGTCAAAAAGGTGTTGCGAAATTATACCGTTGGAAATAAGAAAAGAAATCTGAACACAAACCTCTTCACTTCTCTCAAAATATCTGCTGAAAGAATACCATGCATATTGCATAGCAGTAGTAACTTGGCTTAAAAATGTCTTTAGTAAGTTAGTAGTCATACATTTTATAATACTCACTTATACTTATATTTCTATTGTAATTTTTATTTACCAGGTACATGTAGATGCATATGTTACAATGAATAAACTATGATTTATCTTACTGGTGACTGCGAAGGTGACTGATTGAGCGCTTCATTCAAGCCAGCCAGCATTTTTGCACCAACAAGAGTATGCAGTGGTCTGGCGACGCTCTAACTCGTTGTAAAAAGTACAATTAAATTAACTTCTCCAAATTTAAAATTAATATTTCTTCGAAACCTGAACGATTTCTTCACGATGACGGAGAATTGACTTAGTTTTCGCTTCCGTACTGTTACTTATACTGGTTTCCGCATTTCAGCGGAAACATAATACGGCCTTCCTGTCGCTACCGTACAACTGAACGCAAACAGCTGATGGCAGCTTATATCAAACAGCAAACCTTACAATAAACTGACAAATCTGTGGTTTTCAGCTTTTGTCTTGTCACTATAGTTTTATCCATAATAATAAACTTCTATGAGCATCACGGGTGAAAAGCATTAAAACCCATCACTGCGTATTTTGAGCACTCGTTGTACAGGTGTACATATTTATAATGATATTGCACACGGCTGTGTGTTATCCACTCAACTCTTAAACCAAGGGAGACTACCCATATGGAAAGATTAATGACTTGATGCACATTCTTCATGAACGTCACTTCTGAAGACATATGATAATGAGTATTATGACGTCCAAGTTTATAAATAAATACGACGCTCTCAAGAAGATGACCCAGATGATCAGCCGGCATGCGGCGTATTTCAATTATTCCGTCGGTAGCTTTACAAAAAGGTGCATCCATATTCCGATGGCGAAAGTCGCCGAATTTGATGACTGGATATTTTTAAAAATATATACAAGCATTAAATTCAATATGCCACCAAGCAATTGTGGAAATGTTCCAGTTATTTCTTATTTTTCTTTCGTAATACAAATGTGCCTGAAGGTGATGTACTCTCCAGAATGCATGAAATTGATGATTAAAATATATTCAACCCACGTCGTTACCACGAGGAAAGTTGTCTCTCTCTCCCTCCCCCCCCCCCCCCCCCTCCACCCACCGCTAAACCTACACTTATATTTTCCACCTAGTGCTTTTAGAACTTTTGGTTTTCAATACATTTTACTTGACAGATTTGTAACTTTAATATAAGGTAATACCTCAGTGAAAATGACAACCAAACAATGAGACCAGTGAGAAGGCTGTTAGACAAGTACCCCTTACCACGTTGTTCTTAGAGAGTGCAGTCACGCGCTCTCCAATGTGATGAAGGAAAGGGCTTAAGCGCAAAAAGAAAAACAATGACGAAAAGAAACAATAAACCTATCCAAGGAACCAATATTTTTATACACGGGACCAAAGATGCATACACACACTTTATACGTTAGAATAATGAAAAGAATTTAGAGCAGCCATATGATACGCCGTGTCTAACTGTAAGTTTGTTAAAAAATATTCTTCGGAGCATTGGTTTTGCACACGCCCAAGATTTACATCTGGTCAGCACGCTTTCAGTATTCACCCAGCGTGAAGATTCCATAACCGTGGGAGAATTAGCCACGGTCCTAACAGTAACTGGTTGAGATCTAAAGTTTGGAAAATTAAAAAGGTTTTTCACATACTTACTTTCAAGACTACGGCCCCAAATTGCTTTTGACGCAACTCACATATTTTATTGTGTGTTCCGGGTATATAGATAATAAGCCCAAGGTTCGACCATAGTGAAAAAAACTTCTGAATGAAAGATATTGGAAATTGTTACTCTTGAATTTGGTTGTTTAGAAAAAAGGAATTAAAAACCCTCTTGCTACCTCTTTTTTAAAATCTTTTTCTTGCTACGTGAAAAATAAAATCAATAGAACTCCCTATATAGGTTAAATATAAACTTATTCTTGCAAAAGATCTTCTTAACGTCTCACGTCAACAAAAGTAAAGCGAACATTCCTGACGACCTAAATGTAAACTAAGAACGCTGTCCGATAGGAAGTAGACGACTTGTGAAACCAGAAGGCTGAAAGCGTAGCACTGCCACGTGGCTCCAACTTCAGGGAACACTTCCTAGTTACCAGATTTTTGTTGTTTCTTGCAGAAAAGGGCCTTTCACTTCCCTGCTTGGTAATTGGCACTGCCTGTAAACAGTGTTTTTGAGGACACGAAGGATTGCCTCTGCTTTTAACCAATGAAAAATAGGGGACTGATTTGGTCTTTTTTTTTTATCTAATTACTAAATTTGTTTGTTTTTACATTGAGTTAACACATATGAGAAAACAAGTGTCATGGTCCTTCTTGTCAACTCTAGGTGCAGCTCTGTTAAGGTCATGCAATTGTAAGTCATTTCATATCATAGCGATATAAGAGAGGGGGGGAGGGAAGGGGGGCTAAGGTCCTACTTCAACTTCTTTATTTAAGTATTGCTAATCCTTTATCAGTAAAGCTTTATCGACGTATTTGTTCCTGTGTGTTTTATTTGGCCGGTGATTGTTTATTCCGGTTGCCCAATGATAATGAAGTGCCCATTATCAACAGTGCCTCTTCCACGAACTGAGGATATGATGTTATACAACTGTATATGGTGTCACTTGTCGTGACGGCTTCCATCAGCCCTTGAGTCTGCGTCGCAGAAGATGGCGTACGGGAGTGCAACAGATCACGCGATAAGACGTATGAAATGTAATGCCAGTTTTTTTGGGATGGGGGAGGATTAAGCTCGATCGATCAGGGATTGTTCTCGTTGGTATCACAAAAAAAGGCAAAGAAAGAAAGAGAAAGAAAGAAAAAACACTGAGTTCCTCGATACCATTCAGTATTTCTCGTACAAAGTTCAAAACTCCCAAGTACAAAAACTTTGATAACAAATTTTATGTTTACCGACAAATAAATGAATGAGCTTTTATTTCATGAGAGATTGCGTTACGACTTCGTAAGTCTGGTTAGTCTTGATATGAGCCACCGATTTGGCCGCCTCCGAAATCAGCATAAATGTGTTTATCAAAAAAAAAAC